CTGGGGCATGTGTGTGGGACGCTTGCCCTACTCTGTACCCGCTCTGTGGAGAGAGGTCTCCAGGGCTGTCAGTCAAGCCCCTTTAACCAGCACAGGATTTGGCCCAAGCTGTTGGTTAGCTCCAGTCCTAGGACAACCCTCATGCCTGCCCCGTGCAATGTGACCCACTGCCTCTCTCCTCCCTGTTGCTTGGCGCCACTGCCTCTGTGCCCTTCCACGCTCCTGACCCTCATCCCAATGCTGCGCGGGGCCCTCCCAGGCTAACAGGCTGTGTACTCTGTGCTGTTGCAGGGTGATTCCGGGGGCCCTGTGGTATGTGGCAAGAAAGCGGAGGTCGCCGGCGTGATCTCCTTCACGGGCAAAAGCTGTGTCAACGTGTTCAAACCGCCCGTTGCGACGGCTGTCTTTAAATACAAGACGTGGATCAAAAAATACCTACGCTAGAGCTGAGCCCTGTAACTGCAGCATCATCTGTAAGCTTGCCTGTCTGTCTCCTCTGCCCTGTATTGACCCCTTGTGGCTTCCCTATGCTGCCAGGTTAGAGATCAGCTCACTCACCCAGCCGCATGTGCCTCATCCATCCGTCTGGGCACTGCTGGTGCAACTCCACCCCCCCCCGTGCCTACCTGTTCTCTTACAGAGACTTCAGCTCTGTCCTCCTCTCTCTCGAGCCTGGCATGCAAACTGTCCGCCTGCGTCACGCTTCCGGCTGCTGATTTGAAGTAAAAGTGAAACCTCATCTGGTCCTAGGTGGTGTGTGTGTGTGTGTGTGTCTGTGTCTTGGGGGTATCACACTGTGGCTGCCTGGCTCCAGCTGACACCACAGCAGTGTCTTGTAACTAAGCTAAAGTCTTGGCCAGACCAACGCGGTGTTGGAAATTGGAACTGGGGTAAGGGACAGCTGGGTGGTGAGTAGCTTCCCTGCCCTGAGAGGCACTTGCTGCCTCCTGTAGCGATGACAGAGAGGCAGGAGCCTCTAAACATTTCCCCACATCACCTCCCTGGGTGGGGCGCGGTGCATCTACGCTACCTGGGGAAGCCCAGCTACCCCTCGAGATATGCTACACAACCACTGTGTACTGTACGTGGGACACGAGCTAGGTTCAAAGCTGAGGTTTTCCCAGCTCTGTGTATGGTCTCTCTGGCCAGAGTATCTGAGAGCCTGACCGCAGCCAGGGTGTGAAGGGTTGGCATTATCCCTGTTTTATGACTGGGGAAACTGAGGCACAGAGGGGGTGTGTGTGTGTGTCCGTGTTAACTTTGAGAATTAAACCCAGATTTTCAAGCCCGTGCCTTAACCCTAAGCCCACCCTTCCTCTGGTGAGCAGGACACTGTGCCTGTGAATCACCAATTCCTCAAGCCAGCAGGGGAACCAACCACCTCTGGTTATTAAATGAAAACCCCTCCCCAGCCCCTGCCGGCTCTCTCCTCCCCCCTCCACTCCAACCACCATTTCCAACTGGCCACGCAGTCCTTATTAGCAGGGTGGAAAATAAAGAGAACCGCTTCCTATTTACATAGCTTTAATTTTAATACTGTCCAGTGCCCCAGTAAAATAACATCCTTAGTACATACAGACAGCAGGTGAGGGAAGAAACCAGTAGCAAAGAACAGGACGGCTCAACACCCAGCGCATTGCTCGACAGAAGAGGATGGAAGCCGGGGATAACAGTTAGGGGATGCTAGGTTAACAGAAAGCACAGCTCGGGGGGAAGTTGTGTTTTAAAGTTAAACAAATGGTTACTGCAAAAATGGTGAGGTAATGCAGGTGTCCCCTGTTACTACAGGTGTGTTGTACCCTGAATTAATTACAGCATTCGGACTGGATGGTGTGTGTGGCTCCTGAGGGAGGGAGGGTTCAGGCTCTTTCTTTCCCTGGGGGAGGAGAGATGAGACCTTTGCTTGTTTAACCCCATGGCTGCAGCCCCGGGGCTGGCTGGGAATTTGCCACCCTACCAAGGCTGAACCTACGCCTGGAGCTGACTCCCGCAGCTCTGAGTTTGCCACAACGAAGGCCTTCCCCGCCAAGGTTGTGTGAGTGGTGATGTCCCAGAGAGCGAGGTGCTGGGGGCCCCACACAGCAGGATGGAAAGGGGGGGTTGCCCCCATGTTACAGCACAACCCTTTGGGGAGTGATGCAGGGGCCATGCAGCTGCCATCCCTGCAGGGGAGCCAGCATCTCTGCAAGGGGATCAAGGCTGTTGAGTGCCACAGCTGGGGTTGGTGTGGGCACGTTGGGTCCAGCAGCTGCTGTTTGAGACCTTGGACCAGCCCATGTTTGGAAGGGGCGAGACAGGCAGCTGGAGGGTAGGAAAGTTCAAGCCACGACACGGGTGCTGAGGCTGGAAACCCCACCTGCCCCAGCCCCCTTCCCTTGAGATCAAGGAGCACAAGCCCCCTCTGGAGCTAAAGTCCTGCCTCTAGCCCGTGCAGCAATTGGACCCTAGGGTGGATTGCAACACGGTGCCTCACTGCTACAACCAGAAACCCTCCTAGCTGCAACCACTAGGGGCCTGTCCAGCCTGTGCCAAGGACGGGCCTGAGGGGCTGCCCCTGTCAGCTGCATGCCAGGCCCCACAACGGTAAGGTGCCCCAGCAGCCCCATTTTGCCCCCCGCTTCATTTTTGTAATAAGAGTTGCAACGCATGTGACTCAAGCCCCTTCCAAAGCGAATTAACCCACCGCTCCCCAGGGAGAGGGAAGCGGGAGCGTTAGCTCGTCTACCGCTAGTGAGGCAGGCAGGGGGCAAAGCAAGTGGCCTTGTTCGGGGCAAGAAGCAGGCCCCACTTTGCTCTTTTTGGCACCTGGGGCGTCACTCAAAACCATGCAAAGCCAAGGGGGAAACTGCTGCGGTTCCAACTTTGTGGCATTTCACACCCAGGGTGCATGGGTGGAAATCACCACAGCAGGCCCAAGCCAGCCAACCCCAAACCCGAGGTGGTTTTCGCTGTGTAGCTTTGCAGAGCAGGGCCTGGCTGACAAGGCTAGCAGGCTGGACTCACGCTGGGGAGCTGGCTAGAGGGGGCCAGGACCCCCCACCCCTACACTTCCCCTGCTCACACACTGAGTGCGGACAACATAAAGAGCACAGCACCAGGCCTCAGACACAGGCCAGGCCTCCGCTTTCAGCATTGCTTCAAAACGCCCAGCGAAAGGAGGAAAAAAACATGTAAGGGAACGTCCTGCTGCAGGATGTATTTAGCAGCTGCTGGGGGGGAAGGGGTACAGGCTGGCCCTCCTGAACCCTCCTGGTCTCACATAGCCCATCCAATGGCTGTTGGGGGGGGAGGGGAAGGCTGTGCCTTGGTGGATTTAGTCCAGTTCTTAGTGGACCCATCTCCACCCCATAAAAACCATCTGTGGCACTGATGGGGGGTGGATTTAGTCCAGTTCTTAGTGGACCCATCTCCACCCCATAAAAAACATCCGTGGCACTGATGGGGGGGGGCCTATCTGCCAGGCTGCCAGTCCACCCCAGGCACAAGGGCGATGCCCAACCACTGCCCTGCTCTGTGCTCGACCGGAGCCTTTCAGCTGCAGGGCTGTCCTTTCGCCAAGCCTAGCGTCACTCAAAAATATGACACGTCTATATTTTGAACGGCCTACAAGGCTCTGCCTAGCTCCTGAAAGCAACGTCAGGGGCTTAGTAGAGTGGCTGGGGAAGGGTTTTTCCATGAAAAAAATCAAAAGAAACAATATTTTGCAGCCCTTATGGGTGACACGTTGTCCATGTTCAGTCACGTGTTTCTGTTTTGAGAGGTTTTGAATCGAAAACTGGAATTTTGTTGGGGGAGGGGGTTTCTGTTGAAAAACTGGAAATGTTGGCACCTTGAGGACTTAAAATGTCGGGGCCAAGGGCCTTTCATGCAGCTCCAAAGTGGGGCCGTTAGATGCACATGTCCCCTTTGTGAATGCCAGCCGCTCAGTCCAGACTACAAATGTGGTGGCGCTGTTGAACTTGCCCCACTTCCAAAGTGAATAAGAGCGTCCACACATGGAAGTCTTCCTGAATAGCTGTTCCTGAGTTGCTCCAGGTTTAGAGAAGCCCTTGTGCTCCTAAGCCACTGAGATACTTTTGAAAATCGCCCCCCCCCCCCCCCGCAGTGTTTAGTATTTTCAGTGAGTACCTTGTATGACTCTCACTCTCCATTGGAGCTGGTACGTATATGACCCCCCCCCCCCATTACCATATCACCTGGGCAACTTACCACGTTTAATCCTCATAACCTCCCTGGGAGGCAGGGCTATGTCCTTATTTTACAGATGGGGAAGTGAGGCACAAGGAGGGCCACGGTCACCCAGGGAGTCTGTGACAGAACAAGTCCTTGATGCCAGCCGTCCACAGTCCTAAGCCTACAGCCACTCTGCCACCCTTTCCACCTAAGGCTGCAACAGCTCTGCTCTGTCCTTGTTCCGCCCTGCACTCTCCTAACCCACTGTCCCCTTCCTGCCCATCATCTCCTGTTTCTACAGCGTGTCTTAGGGCACCCGGCCCATTGGGGAGGGGGGAAGCACTGGGGATGCTACTGTATTACAGATATTAAATAGCCATCTTTATCTTTCATTCAAAAGGGTCCCAAAGCATTTTGCACAGCACAGACTGAATAGGGGCCCCTGGGAAGTCAGTGACAAAACTTACATAGGCTTCAATGAGACCAGCATTTTGCCCCATACAACAGCACCTTTATATGCAAGTATCTTCATCTGCCACTGAAATAAAGCCACCTCTGGGGCTGAACGTGGTGGCTCCTTTCAACAGCACACAGCAACGCTGCCAGCTGTGGAAATCAAGTATGCCCTTGAAATCAAGAACGCTTGGATAAGTTCTAGGGAGGTGGACTGGAATAGCCCACCTGGGAATCGAGCCATGACCTGGTAAGAACACCTGCCTCTGTCATAAAGCCCCTGCACGTTGTCATCGCTGCTGCGAAGGGAGCTGGGCGGCCTGCAAACGTCTATTCCTTTGGAACCTACCCTACAATTCTCATTCAGCAGATTTAAATACAAAATCTGGCATTCTGATTAATTCAGAACACTTGACAGAGAGCGGGCACTGGCCAAACGGACACCCTCAGAACGCATCTTTTAAAATACCACTTCGCCCCCCGCCCCTACAACTGGCCCTCCTGAGCCTAGGAAGCCACGTCGGCAGTTCCCCTCCGAGCTTTGCAAGATTAATCAAAGCCAAATCTGACCATGCTGGACAAAACCTGTAACAACAAAGCCCAAACATGTGGTAGGCAACCCCCTCTGCTTCTGATCAGGCAAGGCCCTGAAACAAACAAGGAGTCCCAAGTCCCAGAGTACCTATAAAGCACAGTATCTTTGGGAGCAGGAGGGAGGATGGAGAGAGAGAGACGTGCCTCTTTCTCTCTGCCTCCTGTTTCCCGTTTGCAAATCAGGAAGTCATTCCCCTGCCACTGACCTCAATGGTGCGATGCTGGTGTTAAACCACGAGAATCAGGACCATATTTTTAAGGAGAGATTTCCACTCCATGCCTATGGAATTAGGCACCCAATGAGCAACTCTGCCTCAGAGGCCAAGATCAAGGGGCACTGGTACGGACCTCGCTCCTTTCCTCACATCCCACCGAGCCTGCGACTCCCATCCCTTGTCTGGGAGGTGTTGGAGAGCAAACTGGACTAACTACCAAAGGGAGGCCCTGAAGCTCATTAGACATCGCCTCTGGCCCCACCTTTAGCGCAAAGCCTGCATAGTGGGGCTGAGTTTATAAAGAGGATGAACGGCATAAAGCAGCCTCTGCCGCCCAGACCCGTCCCCTCACCCGCTGAAAAAACAAAAATGGCCTTTCCTCACCCCAGCTCCTTGGCGTTCCCCCATGTGCCGTGAGAAGTGTTTCCATAACAACCCTCCTCCCTTGGCGATAATAAGGTGCTGTTCTGCTCCCCCCAGACACTGGGTGACACCCAACGCAAACACAATCCCAGCAAGTTAGTCATTAGCAGATTAACCAGTCACCATAATTACAGGCCTCGTGCTGCGCAAATGGCTGGTTCCGTAACGGGGAGGTTCTGCCCTTCTTCTGTTCCCCATTGTGGAATCCTCCCCAGATCCCCTCACCCCACCCCTCTCCCGCTCTGCTTTTGGTCCATGGGTGGGTTTCTGAAGGTGTTTCTATAAATTAGCTGAGATTATTTGGATACATAGATATTAGTGCCGACATGTGAGACAAAGCATGCAGCTGAGACCTAAGATTAAGGCTTTTGCTTGAAGCATTCTTGGTGGTTGGGTTTGTTTGTTTTTTTAACTAGAAAGAGCAGCAATCCCAGTTCCCTTTGAAATCTCGACCTCCTGAGAAAACTTAGAGAGACCCCAGTGAATCAACGACCGCTGTTGGTTGTCCTCAGATCGAAAATCCCAAGTGTGCTTCAATGAAAGCGTGGAGAAAATGGGCCTACAGCCCCTCCTGGCATTGGACTGTCTAGGGGGGAAGTTGGCTGATTGCTGCTTCAAAGTTCTTCAACAACGGTGAACTGTGAGGCCATCAAGACATCCCATAGGCTTCACTGCAAAAGTCCATCCCTTCATGCAGGACACCTGTGGCCATCTAGACTCCACGGATAAAAATCCCTCTCCTTAAACTAGAGTGTATGGTGATCAGACATCGCAGAGAAGACACTGGCACAGCCATCAGCAGAACACAGATGTCGGGGGATAGGGGTGGGCAGTTACCTGGTTCTTTCCCAGTGCCCGACGGTAAAACGTCCAAAGCTCCATTAAACAAAAAAGAAAGGGCGGAGAGAGTAAAGGAATAAATACTTGCTTTTCTCCAGGTGTTTCATGTGTGTCTCAATCAAAATTGTCACAACCCTCCTGGCCAACAGTTACATCAACGCAAAAGTTCCTCCTTGGTTTGTTAAGCTCGAGAAAACAAAAACGCTGCTGCTTCTGTCTCTTTATGAACAAGAGTTTTGTCCTTAGGGCGGTGCAGTAGGGAGAGTGCCCGGGGCTTTGTTCGTTTCTTAATACACTATCACCAAAGTTGAGGTGTTCTTTGCATTTGCAATAGCGGCTTAAGCTGGCATTTTTTCAAGCGATTTGTTGTTGATCATTGGTGCTACCATGGGGCTGGGAACGTAGTTGAAGGGAGTCACCCGGGCGGATCTACTGGGAGAGCTGTGCCTGCTGGAGGGGAAGCTCCCAACAGAGCCAGTCGGCCCTTCGTGGCCGAAGGAGATGGGCACAGTGCCCTTGATCGAAGTCAGGCACTCTGTCTCGCTCTTGGGCATCTCTCGGGTCTCCAGCGTTGGAGAGGTGCTGGAGTTGGTCTTGGTGGTGGGGTAGTCCTCAGTTTGCACCACAGCATCACTGGTTTTCCTCTGGATGGGGATCTGAGCTTTGGGGGTCTCCTCCTCCAGGGTGCTGACCAGAGGCAGGGCTGAGGAAGGCAGGGTGCTTTTGAGGATGTGTGGGATGTCTTCATCTCGGATCCTTCTCCAAGTACCCTTCATCATCGCCATCTGCTGCTTGTCCTGCTGCCCCGGGTTCCCCACTGCAGGATTCGGGGTCAGCTTGGAGGCCTCTTGGCTCTTCCTTCTCCTGGCTGACGACTCGGAGCAAGAGGACAGGACGGAGGAGGGGCTGCTGGTCCTCTTGATGATGCTGATGTTGGGGGAGGAGGAATACCTCTTGAAGGGCTCGGGCGAGGGGGTGTTGGTCTTCACAGGCAGCCGGGAAGGGCTCTCAGAGCTGGTCCTCCGAGGAGGCCTCTCGCTGGGAGAAGTTTTGTTGTTGGCCGGGGTCCTTGAGATGACTGGCCTCTGGCTGGTCACCACCGGCTTGGTCACCTTGAGTTCTTCGCACCTGGAGGAACACAGGAACACAGCTGGGAGGCCTGGCCTGCTCCTCTTGGGGGAAGCGCTCTGAGACAGTGAGGACATGGACTCGCAGGAGGAGAGCTCAGAGCGGTGCCTCATGATGAGGCTAGAGGACTCCTTGATGAAGGTGAGCTGCCTCAGGAAGCCGGACCGGTCCGACTCGCTGCCGCTGGACCTGGCCGAGGACATCCGCACCAAATTGAGCCGGGCAGTCGGTAGGATGCCCTTCCCATGGCCTTTCAACTTAGGGCTGCCCACGTGCTCTTCCAGCACCGGCATGGAGCTCCTGGCTGGCAGCATCTTCTTGTTTGGCTTCTGCATGAAGGGGATGCGTACGGGGGATTTCTGGGTCTTGTGCTGCTTGGTGGCTGGGGATTTCTGGGGGGGCGCTTTGGGGGCAGAGCCTGTTGGGGAGCTCCTGCCCACCTTCACCCCTTGAGACGGCAGCTGCTTGTTGAGCTGGGAGGGCGATGTTAACTTCTTCTGGGTGGGCTGGGAGGGGGTGGAGGTCCTAGAGGAGCCCGAGGAGGGGGGCTTGGTGATCCTGGCAGGAGGGGTGGCGCTCCTCTTGGGCAAGGTGAGGTCGGCCATCTCCGAGGCCTTCCCCAGCCTGTGAAGACTTCGTGACCTCTGCTGACTCAGGGTGAGGTTTTGGATGGTGGCTTCGGGCTTAGTTGTGGCTGTTTTCTGTGGGGTGGACCTGGGGCTCGGGGAGTCCTTCACTGCGCTGGGCACGTAGATCACTGTCCTGCCTCGGAAGACCACTGGCAAGTTCGACATTGGCTTCTGCCGGCTTACATTTTTCTCCGCCCTGGCATTTCTGCCCCCGGCGTCCATCACTTTCTTGCTCTCCTGAAAGACCATCGCATGGTCTCTCTTCTCCACCTCACGGCCTACCCCACTCCTAGCCCGCTTCTTATCTTTCCTGTCCAGGGACAGCTGCAGGGTGGGGCCGACAGACAGCCCTGACACGAAGGAGAGGATGGAGTCAGACTCCGAGGAAGGCTCCCTGGAGAGGGATGCTGCGGCCTGATGCAGCCACGTGACGATGGAGTTGGCGCCTTCTTGGATGGCCTTCCACTCGACGCTGTCCAGGTCCGAGCCTTTGTCCGACACCATCTCGTCCGCTGGGTTGTGCCTTGGCTCCGGCTTCCGTTCCTTGCCAGCGGCGCTCTTGGGGTTGGCACCTTTTAGCTTCTGCTTGTGCTCGGCGTTCCTGCGCCGAGCGGAGTGCCGCCTCCTCCTGGGCAAGGCGGAGCCGATGCACTTCTGCAGCAGGTCGTCGTCCGAGGTGAAGCTCAGGGAGCTGGGGGAGCTGTCCCTCTCTCTGGCTAAGGCCCTAGAGGCTGCGCTCTCTTGCATCCGGCTAAGGGTCAGCTGCCTGTTGGCCTTGTACAGGGTTGTCCGCTCCTCGTGGTCACAGAGGTCGATGTCACTCAGGGAGCTCATGGAGGAGCTGAGGGAATAGCAGGGCGGCGTCTCGTCCACGATGAGGTTGTTGTGGAGTTTGGCGGCCATCTTGGTTTTGGCCTGCAGCAGCTGCCTGGAGCTTTGCTCCGGCTCCTTCTTAGGGGCGGTGCCGCTCCAGCGTTCCTTCTTCTGAGCCTGGGCAGGGCTGGCCTTCCTCTTAGGCGAGTCTCTCCGCACCTCCAGCAGGTCGTCGGAGTCGTTCTCATAGAAGCAGTAGACGGCCTCCTCGGTCGGCGTGGTGTGGCACAGGGACTGAAAGGCCATACCCCCAGGAGCACTGTCCTCACAGGGAGCACCCTTCCTGAGGGGGACACCCTCCGGGTGGACCCCCACCCTGCCAAAGTCCAGCTCCAGGTTGGGTCCATTCTTCAGGGGAGGTAGCCCTCTCTTCACCTCAGCTGCTTGGCCCCTGCCTGTCTGGACAGGGCTGCCATGTCTCGACCCGCCCTTCTGCTGGTAGGCCGTACTCATCTTGGTGGGCGTCGAGGAGTTGGAAGCTGCTTTCCTGCCTGGCGCGGGACTCAAGCTCCCTTGCTCACGGTGTGCTTCCATATTGCGCCCCACCGGTGGCCCCGCCACTTCCTTCCTCTCCAGCCTCTTCCCGGGGCCGCGCTTGTGGTCAACCTCCTCCTTCAGCGGGTACTGGAGGGTCTCGTCGCTCAGGGAAGCGGCGCTGGAGAAGTTGATGGGAGTGCCTTCTGCGGAGTCGGTGAAGGAGTCGTCATCCTTGAAGAGGTCCCGGGCGGCAGGTCGCAGGTGTTTGGGGACGCCCCGGTGCGAATGGGTGGGCACCAGCATGTAGACCGGCATGTGCAGAGCCTTTTTGGTCTGAGGATTCAAGACCTGGCTGGGCAAGCTGGAGACAAGGGAGGTCTTGACCTTCCTGAAGCGTGAAGGCATGGCCGAGTTGATGCATTCCTTCAGGATCTCGATATCATCGTCTGAGTTGAGCTCTGGATGCTCCAGCTTCCTCTTGCCCTCCCCGAATCTCTCTTCCCGCCTGTCCTCCTGCTTCTCGTGTGCCACGAAATTCAGGCTGTTCCTCTCGGGGAAAGGCGGCATAAGCTTCAACTCCACGTCCTTCTGGATGTAGTGCTCGTGAAGGGGCAGGGCACTTAGGCTGGAGGCGCAGGAGAAGTTCTCGTTGGGTTTCTCCACCGTGAAGTAGATCATGGAGTCCAGGTCTTGGGGCAGCTGGAAACGCTCCTTGAAATCCGTGATCTCCATGAACTTCTTGACGTTGTTTTCCCACTGGATGTTGAACTGGCTGGTCTCCTTCTCCGGCTGGGATCCCAGTTCGAACAGGGGCGTCTTGCTGCGGCTTGGGGGCATGGTCTGACCGGGGCTGTCCGGCAGCTCACTCGGGCTGATGGTGCCACTGATCATCTCACTACAGGGGTCGCTCTGGATGGAGCTGGCAATGGATGGGCTTTCAAAGCTGCCCAGGGAGCTGACCGAGCTACACCGACTCATCACCAGAGGAGTCTCCTGAATGTAGTTCTCCGAGGAGCTGGACGGGGTCAGGTCCTCGTGCCGGGATGGGGACGATTCCCTCAGGAAGATCTTGTCGCGCTTCTGCAAGGGGATGGCGATGGGTTGGGAGATCCCTCCTGGCGTGGCTGGGCCCAGATCCGCCGCCTTCATCTTCTCCTGTCTCCCATCGCAGGCCTCGGCTTGCTCCACGTCACCTTCGGCCTCGGCGCCCTCCTCCACCTCGATGATCTCCAGGGAGGAGTCGCTGTCCGCCTCGTTCTCGCTGTGACTCTGCCCGTCCAGCACGTTGTCAGCGGAGGAGAGAGAAGAGAGGGAGCTGCACCGGGAGAAACAAATGGGGGTGTCCTCCACCGCGTACTTCTGGACTGACTCCTGCTCCACCGGGGCTGGCGTGTGGGCAGTCAGCTTCTCTGGGATTTTGCTCAAGTTCTCGGCCGTCTGGAGAAGCCCCGTGGGGAGCCAGGCTTGCTTCCGGCCTGGGAGAATTGGGTGGTAACTAGCACTCGAGAGCCCCACGGCGCCAGGGGCCGGGCTGCTCTTGGCCAGGTTCTCCAGCAGGGGGACATGCTGGTAAGAAGGGGAGAGTTTGATGGTGTGGACCTGAGGGTCGGGAGAAAGCTCATTACCCGGCTCCTTCTTCCACTCAGGCTCCTTCTCAGGGGCGTTGGGGCTGGGGAACGTCACCGCTTTCTTAGCCCTGTCATGCATGTCTCTCGGATCCAGTTTCTCCGGCTCGCCAGACTCTTTGACCTTGACCCCCGGCTGCTCCATCCTCTCAGGCCTGTGGACGAGGATGTTCTTCAGATCCAGCCTGCTGGGCCGCTTCTGGTATCTCTGCAGCTCCTCCTTGTAATCTAGGAAGGAGGCCCTGGTGCAGGGCTTCATGTGATCCTTGGTGCAATAGCCGTCACTGGTGCTGCCGCTGTTCAGGCTGTCGTTGGACAAGCTGGTGTAAGCCTTCTTCAGCCTCAGCAGGGTGTGGGCCCGGCTCAGGTTCTCCCGCTTCACGAAGCTGCTGGCATCCGAGAGGCGGCACGGGGAGCAGGACTGGGCCCGGGCCTCGTGGACCTCATCAGAGCCGTACTGCCAGTCAAGGCAGTGGTCCTCCGAGCTCAGGCTGAAGCTGTCGTCCGAGGAGGTGTGGAGGGTGGAGATGTCCTCCACCAGCTTGTCGATCTTGGCCACCGTGGTGGAGATCTTGTTGGCCAGCTTCTCGGCCGCCAGCGACACCTCATCCTCGGGCAACGGCAGCTTCTTGGGCTCGGCCGGCTTGCTGCTCTCGTCCTTCTCGGGCTCCGGGCCCCTCCGCTGGGCGATGGCCCTGGGCAAGGCCTGGCCCTGGAGGAAGGAGGAGTTGAGGAACATGGAGAGGATGGAGGCATTCCCGGTCTCCGCCCCCGCCGAGACGTTGGGCACCTCGTCGTCGTCGAAGCAGCCGGAGTCGGAGGCGTAGTCCTTCGCCAGGCTGTCCATGTGCCTCAGGGGCTTCTTGAGGCTCTGCTTCTCCATGGTGTCGAAGGCCTCCGCCAGGTGCTTCGCATCCAGCTCGGCCTCCAGCGCCTTCTGCTTCCTCACGTAGAGCGAGGGCATGCAGGAGCCCGGGGAGATGACGGCGGTGTCCTTGTACTTGAGGGGTCGGTTGGTGAGCAGGTTCCGGAGGGCGGCGGCGCTGCCCATGGCGATCATCTTGTGCTTGGAGTGGATGAGGTTGCGCAGCATGCTGACGGCCCCCAGGTCCCACAGCAGCTCCTGGTCTTTGGGGCTCCGGGCGGAGAGGTTCCAGAGGGTCCCGCAGGCGTTGCTGACGATGGTGAGGCTGTGGGATTTGAGGTGCTGCAGCAGGGTCTGCAGGCAGTTGTGGTCCCGGAGCACTTGCCTGCAGGACAGGGATCGACCCTCCATTAGAATCACCCCGCTTTGAACATCAGAGAGTTAATGAACAACAACCCCACTTTGCCTCCTCGGCTGCCCCCCATCAGAGCATCTCAAAGTGTCTCAAAATCCTCCCGTTGATCCACCCTTGCAGCAGCCCCATTCTACAGGGGACAGCTGAGGCATAAAGGGGGGAAATGAGTCACCAACAGAGCAACCCAGGAGTCCTGAATCCCAGCTCCCCCCACAACCCACTGGACCCCATTCCCCTCCCAGAGCTGGGAACAGAACCCAGGAGTCCTGAATCCCAGCTCCCCCCACAACCCACTGGACCCCATTCCCCTCCCAGAGCTGAGAATAGAACCCAGGAGTCCTGACTGCCAGTGACTTCCCCACTTCATGCCTCAGTTTCCCCATCGTAAAATGGGCACAATGAGCTTTGCAAGGTGTTTTGGGAACTTCTGGCGAAAGCCCTGACGAAGAGCACACAGTATTTACAAAAACCCGAACAATCAACGTAACGCTCCCGGGATGGTAAGGTTCCCTAAGGCACCGTGAGTCTGTTCTATGGGGGAGGCACACACCCCAGAGGGGGTCCACCGAGCTACCATGAATAATATTAGCATCTCATCAGGGATAGCCCACAGTGACAGCACATCTTGCTGCCCTTATACTCAGGGGCCAGAATGGATCCAAGGCAGCTGGGAATGACCCACAGCCCCTCCAGATCCCGCCCACCGGCCAGCACAGCGCTTTGGGGTGGGGTGGGGGACTTGGGAGCAGCGAGAGGATCGGAGCTGGGTGTGGCAGCTGCCCCCAGGGCCAGGCTGACCTGTAATCCTCCCGGGTGGCGATCAGGCTGGACACGTTCCTCAGGATGCCGCCTCCGCTCTCAATGATGGCCAGCGAGTTGCTCTGGCACTTGTAGGTGAGGGTGCTCACCAGGAAGCCCAGGGCACCCTGCACCAGGCAGATGGCGGCTTTGTTCTCGGTGCTGTGAGCGGACAGGTTCCACAGGGCGCTGAGGACACTCTTCAGGGTGGATTCCTAGCCAGGATAAAATCACCGTCAGCGTCCCTCTAGTGACAGGGCCTCTTCATATCTGTGAGTGTGTCTGCTTTGCACGTACACCCCGCTGCTGTTTGCACACTCACCATAAGCATGCTCACTCCGTGCATGCCACGGCAACGTTTGCACCTCCAGGTCACTGTACACATGCATGCCATCCCCTATGTACACACTTATAGTGAGCGTGCAAGGCATCAGCTGCTCTGTGCGTGCAAGGGCAGCCTTTGCACATGCAGCGCATTGTGCGCACGTACGCTGTCCCCCGTTTTGTGTGTGTGTGCCAACGCAGGGTTTGCACCCGCAGCCCAGAGATCAGGGCTCGCGCCTCTTACCTTGGTGGCGCGCAGGGCGCACTGCATCAGGCCGGTCACGCTGCCCACCTCGCGCAGG